AAAAAAAAAAAAAGAACACAAAATGTTTAACAGGCAGGTCTGTTTTAGACAAATTTAAAAGCTATATTTTGTGGGCTTTTTTGTAGTTTCCCCAAGTCAGATATATAAAAACCCACAAAAATGGTGTGTGAGGAAAGCTGTCATACACAAGAAGTTGTATCCTGAATTCTTCAGGAAACAGTTGTTGAAACAGGAATTAACACGAAGTCAGCAACAGGTTAACAATTTTTTAAAATTGAGTCTTCAAATGCTGCATGGCACAAAGCTAAACTATAGAAAGTAATACTAGGTACAAAAAAAGTTTTGTACAGCTTTTAGCAAGAATGCTTTTCCAAAGCAAGTCGAAACAACACAATCAGCAGGCCAAGGAAGCTACAGCTAGAAATAAGAGCTACAACTTCTCGTATCCGTGCTAGGAAATCCTACTTTTCCAGAGAGACTAAAATTTCAGGACAAAAAAGGGACATTTTAAACATTTCTTTCTTTACCCATTTTAAGTTCTGTTTCTTCCCCCACCCATCCAGTAATTCAGCATGATGCAGCAGAAAGAGGGCTGCTTTTAGAACTGGCTATTTTATTTTTCTTTCTGTGGCAAGACTGGATATTTCAGGCTCCTTTGCATCCAAGACCAGTGTCCCACCGTGGTCAAAAAACTTGGCGTTAGACTTGGTGCATTCGGCTTCCTGCTGCTGCTTGGTTCTCCCACTGATGAAGGTCAGTTTCAGTGTATATTTATCATCAAACCTTTTGAGACTGGAAGACAGTTGCCAAATATCATCAGGATCCATCCCAGCAGGATCCTTCCTGTGAGCCACAAGAAAGATGCTCTTCTCCTTATATGAGGTATAAATGGTCAGAATCCCCATCATCACAAAATAGGATATGACACACAGAGMCAAAACTGGCTTGAACTCTGGAAAGGGATGCATATAATCCCAAATCAAAGCCACTATGGCAAAAAAACCAGGAGATGGTGCAGATGGTGAGGCAACGTCAATTGGCCCAAAATTCTCCACATACTTGTACTTTTCCAGAAGTACCTTTTTGGCAGAATCATCCAAAGAGTTTTCCACAGCTGATCCATCCCATTTGTTATTTTTTACAGGCTTATCATCAATTTTCCACTTATCTAACCAGCCACTATGGCTGCCGCCTGTCCCACAGCTGGGGCCACCACCACTTCTCCCGCCCTGTGCCGCCGCCGCCAACTTGTCTCTGAACATTTTTTTTGTATATTTGTTGATTGATTTTATTTCTTCTGAGAAGTTCCTTAGCCCATTTATGGATTAGGTTATTTTATTTTATTTTGGTGTTAGGTTTTTTGGTTTTGTTTTTTKTGTGTGTGTGTGTTAAGTTTTTGGAGTTCTTTCTTTTTGCCTACCTGGGGTAGAACCCATGGACAGGGGCATGCTGAGCACACACCACAGCCCCTGCTGAGGGAGAGACTCTGGGGAGCTTTCCGGGTGAATAGTAGGGGCATCCAGGGCACTGGCAAGCCGGGCAGCGGTTTCCAACTTCCTAGCTGTGTTGCTGCCTAGGAATGGCAGAGCTGCTGCATACATCTGTGGTTTCTTAACTCAACCCTGCCTTGTTGGTTTGAGGCTGTGGAAGGATGTTGGTTGTGTATTCCCGATTTTTTGTTTCCTTCCTGGAGCTTCATTATGTGGCTTCCAAAGAAGGCACATTCTGCTCAGGCAGACTCTTTTAAAGAGAGAGAGAGAGAGAGAGAGAGAGAATTTTTTAATATTTATTGTTTAGTTTTCGGCAGACACAACATCTTTATTTGTATGTGGTGCTGAGGATCCAACCCAGAGCGGCCCGCATGCCAGGCGAGCACGCTACTGCTTGAGCCACGTCCCCAGCCCTCAGCTGACTCTTCACAAGCATAGCCTGCCTGGGGCTGTGGGAGCAAGTGTCTTCTGATCACAGAC